TATTTGTAAAATTATTTGTAGAATTTGGTCCAAAGCAAAGAAGTTTTGTGTGAAGCCGCTGTATGGCCCCAACCTATTTTTTCCTTTCCCTGAGGATAAGGGATAGATAATAAGATTTGCTCAGATTTTCTTTAACATTATGGCGCATGAGTAGTGATCATAAGTTAAGATACTATTAGGCACTGCAAAGCCTACACAAAATCATAGTCCACCAACCAAGGAGCAGAGTTCATGTATCAAATTAAGCCATAATATGGTTACACTGTTATGAGCCTAGCCACTACTCTTAAAACTACGATTTAGCCCTTATTAAGTTGCATTATTAAGAGCCATGGTGGAACAGTGGTTAGAATGCAGTATTGTAACCTAATTCTGCCAACTGCCAGCAGTTTGATCCTGACTGGCTCAAGGTTTAATCACCCTTCCATCCTTCCAAGGTCAGTAAAATGAAAAGCCAGATTGTTGGGGGCAATAGGCTGACTCTGTAAACTGCTTACAGAGGGCTGTAAAAGCATTGTGAAGTGGTATATAAATCTAAGTGCTACTGCTATTTTGGAACTTTGTGCCTAAGGCTGAAACAGACGTCCCAGTTTCCCATTTCTAGCATGCTGCTTAATCACTAAAACAAACTGGCTCTACATGCCCAATTGAAGACAAAACTCTTTGGAGATAATTGTCAAATACCATTGCCTCTTCCATATGGCTAAATCAGACATGTTTCAAATGATTAGGTTCAAAGGTTTTATGTTGTTATTCAGCAACAGAATCAGATAGTTCTGCTTAATAGTAATAATCACTGCCAGAGTAATAGCCAAGTAAAATGTCAAAAGTAGCTTTTTTTTTGCACTAGAGGTTTTTTATTTAATAAATGTATGTTTAATGGCATATTGGAACATACTTAATTTTGGTTCCCTAGAGACCTACATTATTGTATGAAAAAGCTTATGTAGCTTATAGGCTAATGAACTTGTTGCCATGACAGTTTGAGCTGGGAACTCCTAGTTAATGTTAAACTATATGAAGGCAAACATATTAAATGTCTGTGTAATTTGTGAATCTGTCACTGAGAAGTCTGAGCGAATGAATGATTATTTATCGTTTGAAGACTAACGTTAATCAATTTTGAATGTGCATACCTTGATCACGGATAAGTTATAGGTAACCAAATACAACATACTAGGCATGCTTTTTGCAAGACCAGATAATCTGAGGCTGCTTGGTTTAAAAAGCTACATTTTCAGCAATTTGTATCCTGAGGATATGGAAATCAACCCAATCCAAATAAAGTTGTGTAAAATTGATTCACTGACTAGCCCACCAGCCTCATTCGTATAGCAGCAAAACTTTAGCTCTTGCACACCCACAGGAATCATCAATAACCTAAGGGTTGGGCTTTCAGCCATATTTAGTAGAATACAACTTCAATGATGTTGAAAGGTAGAAGCAAGTGCAATATTGAAAAAAGTGGGGGGGAAGCTTAGAAGGCAGCTAGGCTCACTAATGCAGGTTGATACTGAAGGTAACTCACAGAAATAAGCCTGCAGTGAAAATTTCAAGCCTCCTTATATTATTATCTAATCTCTAATAAACACATGTTGGGCAAAATGGATTTGCCATCTTGCTGAGGTCCAGTGTATCAATTACCCTAGCAGTCTTCTTGGGATAAAGAAACTTTATCATAAACTTCTTCATAACATATCATAAAATGTGGGTTTATGAACTTCTTCACATTTTCCTCCCAAGTGAAGGCTACTTACCCTGAAGGTGGAGCTGAATCTGCTGAGGTCATAAGGGAACTGGCCTGGTGGAGAAGAAAGAAAAAAGAAGTAAAAGAATTCAGTTGTCTTCCTGGCAAAGCATGCACCATGCTGAGAAACTTGCTTCTTTTCTCCTCTCTTTTACAATGGACTTTCAAGGCATGCCAAACCACTCAGGGTTATATGAAACAAATATTTACGTATATTTACTGGATGGACATTTTGGAACTCACTTTCCAATAACTATGGCTCTTCCTGAATAAATACAAGCAGGGCTGAAGGGAGAGGAATGTGCCAGTTTCTGACAAAACTCAGTGGAGAGCTGAGTTTTAGCAAAGAAAAGCAGACCCCAAAATCTTTTAGTTCATTTTAATGATAGTGGGAGAAAATAAATATAGAAAACCGATACCCAGGGAGAAAGACAAATAACGATCACTTCTTTTTTTTTCAGAAAACAAAGAGAATGTGCTTGAAGACAAGGGAATTTGATGCTTAAAGTGAAGCATGTAAAAAGCTGGTTTCTCAGAATTGATGGGTTCCCTATTTTTGCAGACACGGCTTGTTTTTTTCACTAGTTTCACATCGTGAATTCTAGGGAACATTTAATAGGAAATATAGTTCTACCTGCATCATGTGCAAATGTTCATCATCCTCACATTTGTATTCAAAAAGTCAGCACATATATATTCTGAGATAATAAAGATGAACTCAGTTGAAAGTTGGCTTCCTTATTTAAGAGATAGGCCATGCCATAATTCTGGTTTTGCATTGGTTTTTGACATATCTGTTTAAAGGAACTGAGGCAACAGAGCTGGAGAATCTTCCAATTCAAATAATGGGCCAAGAACCGTGATGGTGAGCCTGTGGCATGCGTGCAGAGCCCTCTCTGCTGGCATATGAGCCATCATCCCAGGTCAGATCTCCGTGGCATTTCTTTTGTGAGTTTCTGCTTCCCTGCAAATGGCGAAATAGAAGCTCACAAAAGAAAAAGATCTTACCTCTTCCCGGTGTTGGGATGTTCCGCCTCCTGCCAGCCAGTGTTCTTCAGTTCTCTGCTGCACATGGGTGCATGCCCGCGCATGCATACTTCTGTGCATGTCTGCGCATGTACCTTTCAATTTGGGCATACGTGTGCACGCAGTTTGGGCACTTGATGTATAAAAGGTTCTCCATCACTGGCCTAGAAGATTTATTCCAGGCTTAAGATTTTATTATTATTATTATCATTATTATTCTGAAGGTCTGAAGAGATAACCACATAGGAAGGACCATCAGAATGCTGTGTATAATTGCTTACTTGTTTGTTTGTTTGTTTGTTTATTGGATTTATTAAAGCTCTCCAATTCCAGTAAGATACTGGGCAGTACAGAATAGTTAGCAAGACAGCAAGACATAGGAAGTAAATCAAAGGAAGATGAACTGATACAAGAATAATATGTTGCAAAGCAAGAACTCATCTGGGTCACCCACAAACCAGCCCACCCTGAGGTCCAAGCATGCTATATTTTCAAATGGGTCAAACAAATGAAGGAAACCATAATGAGCATCTCTTCTACCTTCAGTGACATGACACACGACAAGTCTTTTTTTCCATCCACCATATCCCAATCTTATTTTAATGTACTGATTTGTGGGAAGGTTCTGTTATTCCAAATTTTAAACTTTTTATTATTTATTTTATTTATAAAAATATAAAATACAAAGAAAAATGAAAATAATGGGAAAGTACAGGAGGAAAAAGGGAGGAGGAAAAAGTATAGGGGAAAAGTGGGGTGGGGGGGAAGAAAAGCATTGACTTCCGACCCTTTTTAGCACTGTAGAATAAGGTAATAATCAGTGGCGGGCTGCAAATAATCAGCAGTGGCGGGCTGCAAATTTTTTAACAACCAGTTCTCTGCCCTAATGACTGGCTGGGTGGGCATGGCTAGGAGTGTGACAGCACTCAGTCTCCTGCAGCACTCTGCCAGCCAAAACTGGGTGGGGTGGTTAATTACAAAATGTGGGCTTTGCTTTGTGACCTCCATATCCAGCAAGCAAGGGGTGTGAACTGCACTTTTGTTTGGTTATGAAGAAATATCCCCAAGGTCAGATGTAGACTGACTTTTATCTATACACCTTCCCAGCAAACAGCAAATTTTGAAGCTCCAGGTAAAGAGGATTCATTTTAGGAAGAGAAACCACTTTTTGCGTGTTGGAGGTTCCTAAAGGAATGCTGGGAAACTCTGAACTTCAAAGAACATTTGAGGGAGGGATGCAGAATAGCCCTTCTCTGCCTGAGGCTATAGAGACCTGGCACCAATCAAAACACTTTTTGTGAAACAACTGATCAGCACTGACAGGGTAAGCCACTAGTATGTGAAAATAAGAGCAAACGCCACACCCTTCTGGTACTGATGATGTTACCTAGTTTGGTAATGAAGCATCTGCAAGAAAACCATCAAGTTCAGAGTTTCCCAGCATTCCTTTAGGAACCTCCAACACGCAAAAAGTGGTTTCTCTTCCTAAAATGAATCCTCTTTACCTGGAGCTTCAAAATTTGCTGTTTGCTGGGAAGGTGTATAGATAAAAGTCAGTCTACATCTGACCTTGGGGATATTTCT